CTATTACATGGATTCCTAACAATGAAGTACGGCATTGCCTTGTGCCGATTTTACATAGATTTTATCGACACAAATTATGGAACTTCATTGAATATGGAGCAGGCCACGCCCTAAAATGTCCGGATGTCGTCATAGTATTATGGAATACAGATAAAATACTTTTATTATTAAATTTCATTTTTTAATCCTCAAGTGTCCGTTACAATCTAATTAATATTTAAGTATTCAAAAAGTAAGAGATTAATTTTGATACTTTACTGCTGTGCCCAGGAATCTAAGGCGGTTTCTGACAATGTCCTTTATTACTGTATAAAACTTAGTTTAAACACGTACAAGTTTGGTTTCAATTAAATTAATTAGTGTGCAAAAGTAATTAAACTGATACCTAAACTAAGCAAAATTTATTGCCTGTATAGGTAGATACCTAATTATAATAATAGTATTAGGTTTGATAAAGAAATAAAAGGCACTAGGTATTCTAATTTTTGTTTTTGCAATAACAATATTATGTCTCACTCTGAAAGATATTAAAACAATAAACGATAAATACAATATTGTAATGTTGTAGGTTATATTACTAACAAAATGGTTTCAAGTAGGTACGCAATGAGGGCTATCGTTTTAGCGCTCACCAGTTAGCGCCACTGTAGAGTAAGGTCCTGTCACTTGCTAGTAGCGAAGACAGTGGCACCAACTTGTGAGCATTTTGCACTCATCAAGATGGCGCCACTGTAGAGTAAGGTCCTGTCAATCGCCAGGGGTGCCAACTGTTAAGTTTAAAAACGATAGCCCTCATTAACTGCTTGTATCTCGTTATTTTTTGCAGCCACTCTTGCAAGCAGCTTGGCACTCTTCTAGGGTGTCGTAACGGTTGCGGTTGCCATGACATCCTCCGTAGATGAACTCCTTGCATTCTCCGCAGTCAGGGTCGTAGCCGTAACTGGAAAGAGAGGATGTTATTTTTAGGGTTCCGTAGCCAAATGGCAAAAAACGGAACCCTTATAGATTCGTCATGTCTGTCTGTCTGTCCGTCCGTATGTCACAGCCATTTTTTTCCGAAACTATGAGAGCTATACTGTTGAAACTTCTTATGTAGATGTATTCTGTGAACCGCATTAAGATTTTGATGCAAAAATAAAAAAATAATAATAAATATTGGGGGCTCCCCATACTTAGAACTGAAACTCAAAAAAATTTTTTTCATCAAACACATACGTTTGGGTTGTCTATGGATAGGTCTTCAAAAATGATATCGAGGTTTCTAAAATATTTTTTTTCTAAACCGAATAGTTTTTTCTAAGACGAAGCACAATAATAAATATTAATCAACCCGGAAACGGATCGTAACGTTATGAATTCGAGGCAGTCAGTATTATTTGTATGAACCTCCATCCATATTATATCGATACCTCTGGGCTCAAAGGTCGTAAAGGACAAAATACCGAAAATGAGTTATTTATACAGTTTTACTCAGAATTTAATTCTCTATCGATCTGTATATTTAGTTTGTCGAAATTCTCAAAAAAAGTGCCTTTACGACCCATCATTTTTGATAAGCTAAACAGAAATCATCCTGAAAATTGGGATGTAAATACCATTTGATTTTTTAGTACAGTTACCATGGTAGTAAAGAACAAGTAAACACAATTTTTTGGGCGTATAATGTGCATGAAGTATATCTATTGTCCTATACAACCTAACATTTTCATACCAAAGTCTAAATAATTTGTCCTTTACGCCCTTAGATTATCTAAACAAATATTTTGAAAATCTACAAAGAGAAGATATTATAATAACTGAGAAGGTTAATTTTATAGACGTTTCTTATTGTATTTAAGTAGGTGCGTTTGGAACAAACGAAAGAACTAAAAAAATCATCAAAAATATGTAATAAAACTATTTTAGAGTGTATTTATGTGATTGTACACACGACAGCACATCAGGTTACCCATTTTTGTTGCCAAACTCGCCCCTATTACAACTGCTCAAGAACCCACAGTGGTTACGTTGACGTGCCGTCGTCTGTACATATTAAATTATGACATCTACCTACATCGGGTAAAGAAATGTTGCTTTTTATTATTTCTCATATTTGAAGAATTATATTTTATATTAAAAATAATTGGCTTTTGAAAACGGTATTATTACTCCTACAGTAAAGTAAGTGGATGTACTTTACTGGAATGAAAGCTTCCTACTTGTTATCTTACTTACCTAACCTTTCTACTTTTATATCAAGTAAAATGACACAATTTTAAGCTAGTATGAATAATAATGTATAATCTATTTAGAATAATTTATAGTTTGGTTTTCGCTTGTCCTTAATTCTATCCGATCTGCATTATCATAAGGTCAACTGGTTGACAGACTGCCCTATGGAATTAAGTCCGCCATTTGCAGTTTTTCAAAACAATAATGATTAAATAAATAAATAAAATTAAATTGGATTAGACTTTTCGTATATAGTAGGTACACATTTATGAAGTTTTATTTTAAAGCGTCATAATATTTATTTTCTAAATTCGCTCTTATATCGGAAATGGTATCTTCTAGTTCGAAGATATCAAAACTTCTGCTTAAATAGTTTCATAAATTGTGTACATTAAATTATGAAGCTACGAAAAATCATTTTATTTTATTTAAAAGACCATAATTAATTAAAAATGTGTGAAGAAATGATATATTACATATCAAATACCATAAAACATTAAATATTTAAGCTAAATTATCAATTTACCCTTGCATAATACCTTACCTGGGTGTTCCGTTACGACCTATGAAAACCTATAAAACTATGTAAATTGTCATTTATTACCTTGGTTTTGTAGTTTTCTGAAATAAAAAGAGACTTACGTCCTGAGTAACTTGCCTAGGACGAATATTTGAGGGGCGTAAAGGTCTTTTTATTGTAATTTTGAGGGCGTAAAGGAAATCTATCTCAGTAAATACAGCTCTAGTCCAGTTTCTCAATACTTCCTCGGAAAATGCTGTGAATTCTAAGCACTTTCTTCCTAAGTCATATTTTAATAGCTCAAAAAACAAAAAAGTTACTGTCGAATAAAAAAATAAAAAATCGTTTTTTGCTTCTCCTGAAAAGTCGTACTTTGTCCTTTACGACCTTTGAGCCCAGAGGTATCGATATCCGCACCGTAAAAACGCCTCGCCTCGCGATTGACAGCGTGCGAAAGGTGTTGATCCCTTTCCGAGTTGATAAGTGTGCTATATACGTCCTTTATTCAACACAATTTAGGTACTCAGTGGTGTGACACTGTCCTAGTCAGTCACTGCTTCCCAAACTGGGGAGTCTCATGCCCGTTTTCACCATCAATCTCAAATTTTTAAGTGACCCCTATGGTAACATTTGACAGGAATTTTGTTTTCATAGGGGTCACTTTTAAAGATTAGGGATTTATGGTGAAAACGGGCATCAAAGCCCCAATCAGGCTAGGTTGCACGCCACGATAAAGACTAAGTAAGTATTATCATAGTACTAGCTTTCCGCCCGCGACTTCGCTCGCATGGAATTTTGTCTGTCACAGAAAAACTTTATCGCGCGCGTCCCTGTTTCAAAAACCGAGATAAAAACTATCCTATGTCCTTTCCCGGGACTCAAACTATCTCTATGCCATTCATCAAAATCGGGTCAGTGGTTTAGGCGTGAAAGTGGGACAGACAGACAGACAGTGTTACTTTCGCATTTATAATATTAGTATAGATTAATAGGGAAATACTTACACATGGAACAAGGCAAGGCATGGTCCAGAGTCAAGAGGCGAAGTGCAGTCGGGGGCTGTATAAAAACGAAAAAAAATACGTATTATTTTTTCATCGGACTAGTAAAGCGCGTGGGCGAAAATAAATATCCATAGACATTAACTCTGCCCCATCTAGTCCAAACGAAGCAAAGCTTCTATTTTGGTACTTAAACATAAATGGGTATTTCGCCGAAACAGTAAATTTTCTGTGTCCAGGCAGGCGAACACATGTTTTTTTATATTTATATGTATAAAACTATTTTTATGGGAAAGTTAATCAAAAGTTTTATTTGTTTTTGCTATTACAATAGCAGAAACTACAAATAATACCGTAGAAAAACTTAATCAAAAGTCATTTTTCTAATTTCCTTGTTATGTCCATTACTGTTGTTTGCCAAAATGAAGGCACATTATAACAAATTGAAGCGTAATTTCATTCTAATAGCACTCTCTTTATATTTGAGAAACGCTTGGCTATCGGAAAATAAAAACTTTAAATGTCAAATACTTAAAGGAAGGAAATAAAGTGAAGTTAAGTTCTTGTCCGAGTCAAAAGTATAATTTCCCTGGGTCTTCTTTTCGACCATTGTAGTAACGAAACGAAATGACTTAGAATGCAATGCACTGCACCGTTACCCTCGGCCATTTCGTCCCAAGAGGCCATCGAGGCAGGACCGTACTTCGTTGAACAGTTTCGCGACAAATCGCATAAGTAGGTCCCTCCTTGGGTTTTTGTTTACTAAAAAGTCAATTTCTTTGGACGGTTTTTTGCAGCTTAACAATGGATTAATTTTATTGTTTATTTACACAGATGTAGTGTCTGTAGGGGTAAACCCATGATTTAAATAGTAAATGCATAGGGTAAATAGGTTTTTGTCTGTGGTGTCTTTTAGGCATAAATCTAATTTCTTTGGCCCTAATTTCCTTGTTTTCCGTGGCATAAAAAGGCCTAGGAAATTATAAAAGACCATTTTTAATTCGGCGTAAAGTCAAATTTTGAGTATTTCTTTATTGGAATAAATTTAAAATTTACATTTTAAGAAATGGGTATCAGAATAGATATAGAACAACTTGTTTTTAACTCTTAACTCAATCTACTGAATTTATCTTCTTTGGTTGTGTAAAAAGGTCGTAATGATACAATATTCATTGGTATGTTTGCTTGCGAAGGTACACAAAAATGGGTCGAACAAAAAAAAAGCAAACCACAGAAGAAAACTTAGAGAAAAAAATATTTATAATAATTTCCTTGGCTACCAAAAATTCATGACCTTATAACTTTGTTTCTAAAACAAATTATGACACCCCTTTTAGATATATTAGCTTAGTTTTTGTTACTTAATACAATGGGAAACTAAAAATATTTAAAAACAAAAATATATTTCGTACCAAGGAAATTAGGCAAAATTGACCATTTTTGGCGAAATACCCAAATTAGGTATAGATATACTTAAACACAGTTCAGTTCATGACTGTGTCCGTGCTACAAATGTTAGTACTGTGCGGGAATCGAACCCCCGACCTCTGGCAGTACCTAGTCCACTACTGCCGTCCAATCACTATAATGCCGTTAACCCACAATTGGTCAATTTTGACTTTTGAATACCATCCGAATCAGAAAAAAATGCTTAATCTAGCACTATTATCGAAATTTTTATATCTTGTTTAGTTCCTGAGATAAAAAAAATAAGAAAGCCGCTAACTGCTTCGCCTCTGCAAGATTACATAACTAAAATGCAGTTACATTACATTTCTTAGCTTAAACGCGGCTAAGCGTCTTTAATTGTTATTAGAATTAAAAATTTAAGAAAAATTACAAAGCTTTATTGCCGTTATTTACAATTTCTAGTCAATACAGCCATTAAGGTACTTTAACGACAATATTGCTAAGCTGCTCTTTGCAAAGCTTTAATAGTCTCCTCAAGACTAAAACGCCGTTAAGTAAAATTATTAGACTTAAACGCAACAAAGGTCCAATAACGGCATTATAGCTTTGTATTACATGAATTTATTTATTAAAATTGCACTAGTAAATTCACCATTAAGGCTAACCAAATGTAACAATCTATGTGTTTTTTACATTTTTACAAGACTTAAATGCCGTTAACCTACATTCCTTAACTATAATGCGGCTATGTTCAAAAAGTTGAATGAAGTGTTCTAAGCGTCGTTGCGTGCGTCGATCACTCAGCTCAGTCAGAGTTACTGATGTGCCGCTGATAACGCTCCCGGAAATGTTCCTAGCGTTCTCAACAAAATAAATTAAATAATAATAATAAATATCCTTAGACATTTAACATTTTGACTTTAATTTAGTTTTAATTTTATGTTTGTTGTTTATTAATATGTGATGTGCAATGTTTCTATGTTTTATTATCTAAGACTAGTCGTTATAAACAAGGTATGAAACGTGTTAGTGAGATATTGCTGTCTTGTCACTATTTTCGTGGCTAATGCGCACTGCAACTTTAGGACACGGTAACGCGGTAATTGAGCATCAGTGTGCCTCTGAGTTTTGAAATGATAAGAACACGTTGCGTTTTGTTTTCTAATTTTCAAAATTAGTAAAAGAAGCCTGGTGTTCGATCATTTTACTTGTTCATTTTGTTTTACATCTTCTATGTTAGACGAAGACATACGGACCTATTCCCACCTCTCGTTCCCACCACTGCAACTCCTGTGTAGCCAGGATCTACAGCTTGACCATCACAAAAATCCAACCAATGAAGGTCAAGTTTGTCCCGGGGGAAAGTTAAACTGTCATTGGACCCGCTACGAAATTAATCAGAAGAACATAGGAGGAGTTCGAAATTAAGGTTCGACTTCCCTCCATTGCAAAGCGGATGACAGGTGACAAACAAAGGTTTAAAACCTTTAAGAAAAGATTATAATTATGTGGTTAGACGAAGACATAACGTTCGTTTGTTTCAGGCAAATGTCGTTCAACGGCTGGACAAAGGTCTCCTCAAGGATTTCCACAACGATCGGTCCTGCGCTGCCCGCATCCAGGCACCTCTTCTGACCTTTACCGGATCGTCGATCCATCTAGTAAGGGGCCTGCCTGCCCACACTACGTCTTCAGGCTCGTGGTCGCCACTCGAGAATTTTTCTACCCCATCGGCCTTATTCAGCTCTGCCACTTGATTTTAGCAATTCTGCGGGTTATGTCGGTCACTTTGGTTTTTCTACGGATCTCCTCATTTCTGATTCGAGCACGCAGGGAAACTATGCTTGGCATAGCACGCTCCATCGCCCTTTGGGTGACCTTGAGCCTTTTTATGAGGCCCATAGTAAGCGACCACATCTCAAATCCGTATACTATCACTGGCAACACACACTGGTCACAGACTTTTGTCTTAAGACACTGCGGTATTTCGGACGTGAAAATATCGCGAAGCTTCCCGAACGCTGCCCAGCCGAGCTGGATTCGACGATCGACGTCTCTCTAAAAGTTAGACCTACCTAACTGGATGGTTTGTCTCAGGTATACATAATTGTCAACAACTTCGAGTGTAATCTCCAACTTTCAGAGGAGTGGGTACAACACGGACATTTGACATGATTTTTGTCTTGTCCATGTTCATTTTGAGACCCACTTGTTGCGAGGCTCTACTGAGGCCATCGAGCATTGTGCCTAGATCTGCCACAACTACGATATCGTCTGCAAATCGAAGGTGGGTGATGAACTCGCCGTTGATATTTATGCTGAATCCTCTCCAGCCTTTCAACACTAAAACAGGTTTTGTTATTTTTGACATAAATGCAATTTTCTTTATTTCCTGAACTATTAAGTAGCTAGTACTTAGCTTAAATGCCGTTATGGTGAAAAGTTTTGTTTTTAACTGCATTTTAGTCTTGTAATCAAAACGAATCAAACAGGCATACCAATAGTTTCGTAATTTATGTGTTAATACTAGACTTAAATGACGTTAGCTAACATTAGCTGCATTTAAGGCAAGTATTTTCACGTTAAAAAATAATAGTTTTACCGAGCTAAAACGTCGTTAAACTATTTAACGGCATTAAAGTTTAGTAGAATTATTAGTTAGAAACTCATTTTACAAATGTATCAAAGTTATTCAAGATCCAAAACTTAAACGCCGTTAAGGTAGCCATACCGGCGTTTTAGTTGTGTATATTTTGAGATATTATTTCAATAATACTGAGTTAAAATGTATAAATTAAAATATTTCAAAATCTATAATATGTAGCGTCGTGAGAGTTTGTGTCAATTATAGCTCTTAAAAATACCTTTAAAATGATATATTTAAATTACAAATTACTCTTTTACTTTTGAAACAGCGATTTTTTTTTAATTCGTGATCTTTAAACTCGTTTTTCTCCGAAAGTGGTTTTTGCACTTAACGGCGTTATAGTGATCGGACGGCAGACTACGACGAACCACGTCAAATGGCCGATTATCATCTGTGGCCTAAGGACTTTTCTTGAAGATGCTGGGCCAGAAAGACCTTGGAGTGGAGGAGACCCCGCAATAACATCAGCGGCAGAGGAAGACCGCGTGAAAAATGGACACATGACACTCGGCAACAAGCTGGAATAAACTGGATGCTAGTGGCCAGGGACAGAAGTCGGTGGAAGGTTGAAGAAGAGGCTTATATTCGAAGATGAACCCCAAAGGCTGCAAAGGGTGGAGTTTCGTAATATCCTTTCTTAGTGGATGCCTACGTCATAACATCTACCTGCATGCCTTTCAGCCCGATCCGTCCAGTGGTTTTTGGGCTGTGCGTTGATAGATCACTATGTCAGTCAGTCAGTCACCTTTGAGTTATAATACCTATTATAGGTATTTAGATAGATATAAAAGCATAATAAGTAGGTACTTTACTCACCGGCACCGCTAAAAACGCTTGCAACTGCCGCTAAAATGAAAATAATGAAACTTAGTTGCAACATTTTAAAAATTAATGCCAGTTGTCTTTTAAAGGACGAAGAAAGACTTACAACAATGTGTCGTTCGCTAGGTATTTTATATGCAAGTTTGTAAAAGAGTTGTTTTTCTGTTTCATGTTTTTAAGGGGAAGATTTTTCAGTTCCCTTTTGATTTTTTACCGGGTTAAAATGTTTTTAATGTTTTTTTTGGCTTGTGTCCACTGCTGGACAAAGGCCTCCCCCAAGGATTTCCACAAAGACCGGTCCTGCGCCGCTCGCATCCAATTTTTTTTTTGTATTGGCATTTTAAGATAAAAGCGATTTATTTATGCAACGATAGCCGAACAGTGAAGGGGTCGGACTGGCAGAATCGTGATCCGAGGAACGCGGGTTCGAATCCCGCCGCCGCTCGACTATTGTGGTGAAAAATAGCCAAAATTGTCTCACGTAATTTTAATGGACACCCCCTAACAGATAAAATAAGTTTTTTTTATTTAAAACTTAATTTTGAAGCTTCTCTTTAATACTTATGTGTGATCTTAGGAAACACTTAAATAAAGAAGTAACAACAAAAGGCATACATATTTTGTATGCAATAAACGTACATGTACAAGAATAATGTGACATGCATATTAGAGAAAAAACTCATACTTTTGTATGTTTGTAACAAATAATAAATACTCAGTGAGTGATGCACTTTAATATACCTGCAAATAGGGATTGTAAGTACATAATATTATTTATTTAGGTACTTACCACAGATATTTATTTAAATAATTTAAACAATAAGACTTATTTATTTATTTATTTATTATTCATTATTGAGCAATTACATATTTGATCCAAATAGCGTCCTAAATCCTCTTTAGGTTTGTCTAGACGCTATCGGGTACTTAGGTACCTGCCTGCAGCTTTGCCCTGTTTTTACCGCGTGAATTTCGGTGTAATTTCGGTCTGCTATTTTAGATTGCCTGCGCTATGATAGCGCTTCTACACGCTTAGGCCAATCACCAGCGAAAGTAGGTATTTTGAAAACAAAAACCTACACAAAACTTTGTGAGACCCACACAATGTGCTCTTGTGCTCTGCTTGCTTGTTTAGCCCTAGCCTAATCTTCAAAGAAGGCATACAACACAACAAGTGAGCGCTAACCTTAACTCCGTATTTCAGCATAGACAATAATATCATTCTATTTATAATCTGTGGAACCACCTAAGCAACCACAGACTATAGAATTTGTACTTGTCAAAAAAGAGCATCCTCGTCGGACGGGAGAGGTGGGATTTTTTGCTTGAAAACCTAATTTTTCTTCTCAATTGAATAAAAACGTAAGTAATTACAAAATATTTCTTTACTCATGAGGCTCACTTGTTTCACGCTTATAATTTTTATTAACTTGCATAAATTTTGAGATTTTGGCACACAAGTTTAGGTTAGAAAACTCACTTCATTATTTTCATTGTTATCAGTTTACTGACGATTCTATAATTTGTGAGTTATTATTGCACCTATTCAGAGCGATATATTTGCAGATTAATGTATCGTTTATGCGAAGTGCTAAATTAAATCGAACATACGATCAGTGATAGTTGAAGCACAATCCGTTCATGATTCGAAAAAGAGTTCATACAAAGTTAACTACGTACTTAGATTAATAAAACAAGACTACGTAGATGAAATTTCTAACTGTAAGCGTAGCAGTCAAACCTAATAATTTAACGGTTATCAACAATATATTTTTTGGTTGGTGTGTTGAAATAATTTGATAGAAGTTGGCTAGATTTTTCTTTTGATCATTATTATTCATAGTAGGTAGGTACCCATAGATTTTGTAAAATAGTGAGTAACAAAATTTGACTGTGGATACCAGCAATATTAATTTTACAGTCAAAAGCTTCCGGTACATAAAACTGCCCATTTTTTAAGTCCCTAAAGTTTGAAAATCTAAAAATTAATGTTGAATATTTCAAAATATAGTGAAGATATAAATCAGTAGGTAGTTTATTTATTTTAGTTTAATTTTAGGGAGGCTGTTAAATCAGTCGACTGTCTATTTTGCCTTCAATTGTCATAATTGACTGTGGGGCTAAGTGGTTGCTAAAATGACAATTAAATAATTTATTATACTGCATTGTAAGTGTAATCCTACTATTATAAATGTAAAAATTGTGCAGTACAATAGATGGATATTTGTTACTCTTTTACACTTAAAAGAAACTGAACTCACTAATGCTGGATTTTTATATTCAATCCTAATCCAAAACTGTCCGTCAACTGTCAAATTTCAATTTTTGGTCAAAATATCTGCGGTTACCTACGATGTTTTTACATTTTCATATTGTTTATAAGACAGTGGCACTTTTTGATTGAATCAAAAGTCGAATCCATTGAAATTCCATACAAAAAAGGATTTTCAGCCATCTTTCGACATAAAAACTGTCACATTTGGTATTTTGTCTAGGGGGGGTAGACTGTTTGAAGCCCAGGTAAGTTTTTATTTATCCTATTTTTTTTTGTACACATACGGTAAAATGCAGGCAAAGCCGTATACAAAAGCCAGTATGTCTTATTTTACGTAAGTGGTATGAGTGAGGTCATTATGATTAGACATTATTAGGAGTCTGCAATGTCAATTGCTCAATTTGTTCATGACAAAGTGAATCCTTGCAGTTTCAATGTTGCTAAATGATCGCTTAAATTTGTCAAAAGATATTACAATAGCCGCCTATTATAGAGAAAAAAACACATTAACGTAAACAATACTTATTCTTTAAAGTAAAGAGTGTCATATTTATTTTGTTAGTTGCAGTTTTAGTTTTAAAACTATCCAGTGCAGTGTTCCTAAGAAATTTTAAAAATGGAGGTATAATATTATCTTTCTATTTTAACGCTGGTAGGGCCCAAAAGATAAGGAGACATGTAAAGTGACCCATAAGGGCTACCTTTTCTTTTTTTATTATTTACATTTTGACGTTCATAAGAGCCACTTGTGGTCTAAACTGAATAAATATTTTTGATTTTGATTTTTTTTTTATAACCTAAAACATTATTCAGTTCAGTTTGGGAATCAAAATCTAAAACATTATTCAGTTTTGACCAATATTTTGGCACTTATGAACGTCAAAAATAATAATAAACAAAGGTAGCTTTAGCCCGATTCTAATTTGTATGAAAAATCGGCCGATACCAAATCGTTGTAATGTGCGCGCTTTCATACAATCATGTCCATACTGAACACAGCCCAATCCAATGAGGGCTATCGTTTTTATACTTAACAGTTGGCACCCCTGGCGATTGACAGGACCTCACTCTACAGTGGCGCCATCTTGATGAGTGCAAATGCGATAGACCTCCTACCACTTAAGCGCTCACAAGTTGGCGCCACTGTCTTCGCTTCTAGCAAGTGACAGGACCTTACTCTACAGTGGCGCTAACTGGTGAGCGCTAAAACGATAGCCCTCATTATCGGCCAACTAAAAATCGGTGGTCTGCGCCTAGGCTTAAGGGGCATCCTATGGAGAATCCTTAAACACAGAGGAGCTGGCTATCTTACTTCCAACTGTTGAATACAACATTGCTAATAATATGTTTTGTTTTATGACTTCAGATGTCTGGCCGTGAGGGAGGCAAGAAGAAACCCTTGAAGGCACCGAAAAAGGAGGCGAGGGAACTTGACGACGATGACCTAGCTCTAAAACAGAAGCTAAAGGAACAACAAAAGGCCCTACAGGTAATTCTGTTTTCTTTCTAAAGTCCGATCACCGAGCACATAGAATTTCGTCCAATGACCCCAAGCTACCCATCCTTATCGCTCGCACGTAATTATATTGCTGTCGCGCTCGCACACTCACTGCGGCCGCCCATCGCAAAGTCGCAATTACGCGCGAGCGATAAGGATGGGTAGCTTGGGGTCAATGGACGAAATTCTATCTGCTCGGCGACCGGACTTTAAACTAAGGTCCGTATTGCAAGAAACACTTAGGCTGAGTTGCAACACCTCACTTTAACCGTAACTATAACGATAACCGGTGTTTTTTGTATGGATTTTGACAGATTTTTAACGTTTGTTAAAGTTACAGTGAGTTGTGGCAACCCAGCCTTGCAATTTTAAATCTGGCTAAAGCCTGGTCCGTGAGCACGTAGAATCCCGTCCAATGACCCCAAGCTACCCATCCTTATCGCTCGCGCGTAATTATATTGCTGTCGCGACTGTACGACGCGCGCCCGCAGTGAGTGTGCGAGCGCGACAGCAACATAATTACGTGAGAGCGACAAGGATGGGCAGCTTGGGGTCATTGGACGGGATTCTACGTGCTCACGGACCAGGCTTTAGTGACTTGTTGATTTTTTCCTGTGTATGATTTAAATATTGAAATTCAAGCAAAGTGTCAATCTTTGCTTGTTTAGATCAAGTTTTTTTTTTACTTCAGTCTTATGTAAATCTTAGTTTGAATATAAAAAGCCCTGTTATACAAGAGGCATAATCATCAACCAGATAAGGCGCCACAAACAAAAGAGTAAGTTTCGCGCCAACTGCGTTGATGTGGTAGTAGGAAGATTAACACATTTGCACTCACTAGGATGACTGTAGAGTAGGTAATGGTAAGGTCTTGTTTGTCACTCGCTAGTGGTGGCAACTGATAAGTATAAAAAACTATAGTCTATGACTTTTTATAATGTCCTTTTTTGTTTCAGGATGCAAAATCTAAAGCCTCTCAAAAAGGTCCACTTACACAGGGCGGAATAAAGAAGTCGGGGAAGAAGTGACCGTAATTTTACTATTCCATTGTATTTATAGGATGTAAAATTTTTATGTTAAAGATCTATGTTAAATACAGTGCAGAAAAAATGTCGAATCATTTAAAAAAAAACGTATCTTTCATTGTTAATCTGACCATCATAACTTAAAATTATAGCCTGACCAGGAACATAAAAACCCTGGCACAGAGGCGCGTCAATTGCATTTGATAGTGCAACACTGAGTACAGTCGTACCTGTGTTAAATTAATAGGCTAACTTTATGTATCAGGATTCAGGATTACGGGCTAATTTGATATTTTCATAAATTAACGAAAAAATATTATTATAGGTAACCTGATTTAAATAAATTAAATGAAACCATCAATCGAGCTAGTAGAATTTATTTTATTATTCATCAATAATCAAATTCAGAACTTGAATATTCAACTGCAATGTCTGCTCATGAACGCTTCAAACTCTACTTTACTTCTTTCCTAATCCCATAAAATTCAACACTTAGAAAGTGACAAAAAAATTTAAAATAGGTAGTTGAAACAAACCACAGCTAATTTTCATAGTGGACTGTACTATACGATAAACATGTCAGTCAATTTGACAACCTTTGTCGGAACATTATTCAATGAAAATATTGTCCGAACCCTTAGTATTTCTTTTCGACAAATACTTTAACACATTGTGAACCACTTTTCTTTCACGACTATAAAAATATTTTAGCAATTTAATTCATAAAACCAATTGCGCACATTTAAAATAAAGTTTGTTTACACTTTGACAGCAATAGACTGACATGCAAGGTGACATGTCAATGAAGTTTTCAGTTACTGTTGCCATTAAAAGAAATTAGTACCATTAGTTTTCCGCAACATGGCGAGGGTTTTTATGTTCCTGGTCAGGCTATAAACTGCACTGCCAAAACTGGCTTGAAAGTTTTGTAACTCGTTTTTAACTTCTAAGGCAATGCATTTGTTTAATAAATAAAAATATTAAAAGCCAAATTGTTTTTTTATTTTTATCTGAATAATATTTTTTCCTTTTCCTTGGATCAATCACATTTATTTAAAAAAAAAAGAGAACTGTCAAAAGTTTTTGACATATTTTTGTTTCCCGGTTTTGGATGTTTTTACAAAAAATATTGAATTCTACTAATAAAATTAAATTCATGTTATTGATGGTTAAATCTGAAAAAGTTACAAATTTCAAACTTACCTACACACAAGTCTAGCTAGAGAGTGGATTATTTTATCGAATTGGATTCATTGAGGTAAGGAAGATGTTTAAATTAAGATTTTTGTTGTAAAATGACCATTTACCATGTACCTAACTAACATCTATAGATTTCAATGAGCGTTGATGTAATAACAACTACTTAGCACAACAGCTAAGAACTTTAAGTAAATAAAAACATGTTGACTGAACAGAATCTGCTTTATTCCCATCCCACCTTCATTAATAAGTTACCTTTATTTTGATACTCTATAAAATAAGTAGTCTACTTATGTACCTTCTTCCCACATTTCTCTGTTACAGATAATATTATTGAAAAATAACCAATATGGAAAATATCAAGAAATTTGAAATGGAAGATACTAACAATACTTCACCACTCCCTCTGCAGTGTTTATGTAGAAAAATAATAATAGAACAAAACAATTTATACCTTTCGCCATACAAAGAAGATACGTTTCCTAATGATTATTGCAACAATATTAATATGCTTATGAATAATAATGAAGATTCAATAAGCCATGAAATAAATAATCTAGATTTAGTCATAGGTATGGAAGAACTGGACAATTTTATACAAGATCTAAACATAGATCCTTTTTCTGAATTAGATAACTTTAAAGAGCTTTTTGAAAGAGATATTGAACAAAACGTTGATATGCCCCAAGATATTGATTCCAAAGTAATAGAAAAAGATATATCTAACGCATATAGTAAAGAAATTGAAAAAGATATAACAGTAAACAGCATAAAAGAAATCTTTAAAAGGGAAACTAATGAAAAAGATGTCATAGTTCTAAATTCTGAAGACTCAGAATCAGAAATAGATTCTGTATCATTACAGTCGACTGCGTCTCGAAACATCCAAGATGAAAAACCTAAGATTACCATCGAAATAAGTCCACAAATACAATACATTGCTAACGTTAACACAGACTGTTGTAAAAAAACAAAAGAAGATATAATAATAATAATTTCTGACAGTGAATCAGACGATTCTTGCAGCGGATACCATTCTTCAGACTTTGAGTTCATAACTGAAGAAGAAGCAAGAGCTGATGGCTTTAAAAACTTTAATAAAACCAACACAATTGAAAATGAAGTTACTAAAACAGTTGAAGAAACTCAAAAACCAAGTTGTAGTAATAATAATGAAGAATACAGACAGAACCACCAAATCCCAGTAGGGGAAGGGTATTTTGATCTCTTCAGGGGATATCATGCTCCAACTACCCCCTTTATGTTTGAAAACAAATGCATGGGGTTGCTATTGAATGCAGAATATGCAGGGGTGGGTTTTGATATGAGAGTGCTTAGCAGACAAATACAAGAATTTGAAGACGATGATGAATGTAAGTAGTCCAACCAATGAGGGATTACCATATTATTATTTTTTAGCGAAAGATCGTGGGTTCGATTCCCGCTTTAGGCAGTTCGATTTTTTTAAGTTATTTGTAACTAGCTTTTGCCCGTGGCTTCACCCGCGTGAATTTTAGTTTGTCATAGATCGACATTAATTATAGCCTTATATGTTATTCTGGGTTTTAAACAATAATACTGTAAAGTTTCATCAAAATCCGTTCAGTATTTTTTGCGTGAGAGTTAACAAACATCCAGACATCCACACAAACTTTCGCATTTATAATATTACTCGTAGTAAGATTTATAAGTGGACGTTATCTTTGTTATCACTGTTTTTCATAAACTATAATTGTTTTTCAGATAAAGAAGAAGCTGAAGAGTGTGCGAAGAAAATACTAAGAATGTATCCACGCGAGAACCGCAAACGCAGGCGTAGATTTATTTAAAATGTAAATAAATGTTGAATTATTTCTACAAATTGCTGTTTTCATTCTTTATTGGAAGACCATGAACTTAAATATTATTATAGTCAGGTACAATGACAATAATACAACATAGGTACCTACGCTAAAAATGACAAAGTCCAGTTTTTGAGCTCATCATTTCAGCCACAGGTGTTGTGAATGAATGAATAAATGAACCGATCTCCTAAATTTACATTTTTCTGTTGTTTCTTGTCGATGCAAGTTAGTTAATAATTGTGAATAGTCAAGATCATCATAAAGGGATACCTACCTACTGTAGAGAATGTAGGAAAGTTAATTTCAATTCTTTCATCCACGAAGACGCGCCCCACCAATACTTGGTCTCGGTCGGGGTGCGGGGAGTTTGATCCGAGCAATCCGAGCGTCATTATTGTAGTGTGCGTGTGCACTCATGGATAATTTAGCGTGTACCGATAACACTGTTTACTATCTGAAGAATGGTGGGACGCGTCAAGAATGGTAGAAACGATCTATAGAGTTAACTAACCCACAGTTAAACCCAGTAATGAAATAAAACAATTAATTTTACGAGTAATTTATTGTAGTATTTACAATGGGAGTTAAAATCTAAAGTATCACTAAGATGATATAAATTTTATGCTAATACGATGTACTTTCCATAGCTTACTGCTAATTTTCTTTTACAAAATTAATGTATTCTTGAACAAGTCATATATCTACTTAAAATACACTAGTATTTTTAACTATAAAATTAGAAAACAATTTCTTGATCAGATTTTTGGAAGCCTGTTCTTTTAGGTAGTCTAATTTAAAAAAGGGATTCCCTGGACAAATAATCTAGGCTGACATTTTCCTTGCTTACAAAATGTGACGTAATTTGATAATCAACAGATCTTAAAAAACATTTCTGGGATTGTATTTATACATAAAAGTAACTATACACAAGTAGACAGCGTCTCTCGTGAGTAAATATAATTAGTCGACTATAAATTCAATTGTCACGACTGTGTTGTAATCTTGCCTTCAGTAAGGAAACTTTAGCCTAGAGAAAATTTAACCGATTCATAATCATATCATTTTTAAACAACAGAATCATATAAAAAACCTTGTGATGGATTTAAAACATCTATAAATTTTCAACTATACTATTACGGTAAACTAACACAAGCAGTCCAAAGAAAAAATAAAAATCTGTTGTCAAAAATAAATATAAAAACAAAAAATATAAAAGTAAAATCTAATCATGCTGTAGAAATAAAGTGGTAGTTGAATATACTTTTACGAAGTAATTTTTCAACTGTTTAGTTGTTTCCTTACACATATTTCTCTATCTGTAGTTTGTCAATTTTACATTTAGACTGAAATACAGGCTCTTAATTTTAATGTGTACAATATTTTGAATAACATAACCTTTTTATTCAATACAAATTGGTATATCTGTTATTATTATTTATTACTTTATACAAAAGTATTTCACATAAATGTGGACGTAATTTTAGATTTTCTCTTAAGTTTTGTTGTTTTGTAATATTGCACACATAAAAATAAGCAACCTGTGGCCCAAAGAATGTTGACATAAATACAGCAACATACTTCAAACAATCTCAAACCAAAGACCTATTAATGTTTATAGTGTTTTTACAGGTTTTAACCAGGATAGTGAATTTTAAAGACATAATTTAACTCTGTCAGTAACCAAAACATGAAAATTGCTCAGTAGGTGCTAGCCTAAATTATTTAAACAAATTGGACTCAGAAAATGTACTAATTTTGAGCTTTAAGTTCATAAAAAGCTAACATATTTATTTATACACTATCAGCTAGGATTTAGTTCGTACCACATCCGTCCTCGTTGAGGGGCTAGTAAAAAAATAAAATCCTTATTTTCCACCGTTGGCAACACCTAGAATTTGGACTTTCTTTTCGCTGGTGATCTTGGAGGCGGCGGTTCAGTCTTCTTGCTCTGAAAAAGGATAGAAATAAATAGGTCATCGTTGGGAGGTAAAATATGTATTTTTGTCAAATGAATCATCATTTCAGCCACAGGACGTCCACTGTTGAAAATAGGCCTCCCATAATGATTTCTAAATTGGGTTTTAGGCAGTAAGTAGCCTGCATCCAGCGCCTTCCTAATATGGACTCAGTTTATATCTCAGGTAAAAATAGCAATATCTAATCAAAGAGAGAAACTTCATAAAAGTGTATGGAATTATTTTGACATTCTATTCATTTATTGCCAAATTTTTTGGATAATAAATCTTCAAAAAGTTGTTACAAATAAAAGATTGAAAACGGCTGTTTTTATGATCCAATTAAATTAATCTTAGCCGAGAGTAGAATGGGACAACTCCCACTCTTCCCGTGGATGTCGTAAGAGGCGACTAAGGGACGAATATGAACATCAGGCCTCCCCAACCCGTCTGGCCAGCGTGGGGAGTGCAGGACAAATCCTCCATTTGCCTCGGGTACATTAGAGGGTCGTGCTCCTGGAGTGGAGACTAAATGACAGTGCAGATCACAGAAACACAGAATAAGTAATAGTACAGGTACAGAAGGATTACTCCGCAAGACGATTTAAATAAATGCGAGTCTTGCTACGACGCGATAAAGTGGAATTCAGCTCGCACAGCACTACGTACCTACAATTTTATTCACCTACAAGTTTTGTCTCTTTCTATCGCGTGCCTCTGAACTCTTCTTACGCTGTTAGGGTTGCTGTCTAGTGAAAAAATAATTAATCTACTTATATGTAATGAGGTACGTATGTAGGTAAGTACGCATTCATTATGGAAAACCTTGGGAAAGGCCTTTGTCCAGTAGTGGACGTCGTCATTTGGCTGAAACGAACGAACGCATTCTGAGCAGTAGTCATGGTAGGTTAGGTTCCTATACTATCTTAAGAATTATTGATTACCTACATGGCAAACATACCTTTCAGCATCTTTGGGAAGCGAAAAAAAAGATAAATCCGGTAGATTTCTTTTCGAATTTAAACACCCGAACGCCGCACAATATTTCTTTCTCTTTATGTCCATTTTTAAATAATACTTCGATCATAGAATCATAATCATACTACAACGCACGCCAGCGTCCTGACGAGCGCGCGCGTGACACTCGACTGATATAATACCCGCCGGCGGGGCGCTTCGCTGTAGGTAATTATCGGATGTACCGCGCGGAGTGAGCCAGGCCTGACAGAAACTAAAGGGAGATGTGACAAGGGGGCGGGGCCGGTGTCGCAGCAATATGCCCAAAAACAGAACACATTGCTCGCGTCAGCAATAATGATAGCAGCGACGTCATAATGTAAACAGTTTAAATTGCTTGCGTAGTACTAAAGATTATTCGAACGTTGAGTACTGATACCGCAGGGGTAATGAGCACATATTTTGATTACTTTGTGTGCGTGAATTTCTGATGTGACACCGAGTTTCGAACTTGGCGCATTAGTTGGCATCTCTCTACAGGGTGTTAGGTAAATGGGTATATGAGCCGACACTAGCCTATGTTAACATAAGCATAATAATATAAATGGTATGGTGGAGTCAGAAATTTGATATCATCATTTTAATTTTTTAAATGTTCATCCCAACTAATATTATAAATGCGAAAGTAACTCTGTCTGTCTGTCTGTCTGTTACGCTTTACCGCTTAAACCTCGCAACCGATTTTGATGAAATTTGGCATAGAGATAGTTTGAGTCCCGGGAAAGAACATAGGATAGTTTTTATCCCGGTTTTTGAAACAGGGACGCGCGCGATAAAGTTTTTCTGTGACAGACAAAATTCCACGCGGGCGAAGCCGCGGGCGGAAAGCTAGTACAAAATAAAATTAATAAAATCAAATTTGTATGAAAATTTAAATAATTAAAATGATGATATCAATTTTCTGACTTCACCATACCGTTTATATGCCTATGGGCTAGTGTCGGCTCATATACCCATTTACCTAATACCCTGTATATCTCTAAGAAATGACCTGATGATGAAATAACTTACCTCTCTTGATCTCTTCGCTCGAGGTTCCGAGATTTCCTTGTCCTTGTCTTCAGCTTTATCGTCTTTCTGTTCTTCGCTATCTTTCTTCTCACTCTTATCCTTATCACTCGGACTCGGACTTTTCTCTTTCTCTGTCTCGCTTTCTTTCTGAGCTTCTGTTTCCGGCGATTCTTCCGTATCGTTCACTTCCTTTTCTTTATTTTTAGCATCTTTTTTAGCTTCCTTGCTATTAGCAACTTCCTTTTTAGTTTCTTTTCCATTTTCTTTCTTGTCTTTGTTATTTGAATCTTTCTTGGATTCTTTTTTAGCTTCTTTATTGTTTGTTTCTTTCTCTTTATTTTTATTTTGTTCTTTGTCTTTACTTTTGGACTCTTTGCTGCTCGAAGCCTCTTTCTCTGAGTTTTCCTTTTCTTTTTCTTGTACTTCCGCTAAGGTTTCGTCTTGGCTGTCCTCAGTGTCGGCGTCTTCCGGTTTCTCCGGTTCTTCCGGTTTCTGTTCGTCTTCCAGTTCTTCTGAGTCAGTCTTGTCCTTTTCTTGATCTTTTTCTTTGTCCTTTTCTTCTTGCTGCTTCCTAGAAGACTGTCGCTTTAGCGGCGGTTTCGACGGAGTGGTGGTTGCGTTTTTCTTTGGTTTAGCTAAGGACAAAAGCAAAATTAAAAAATTACTTTATTTACATTACTTTACAAAACTATTTTGATTTAAAACATCTGCCGTAATCTACACGGGTTGTCTAGAAGATCACTTCATAGCTATAATTAAGTCTAAACGCCTCTAAAACTTAAATAATAAACTTGTAAAATCAAATTTAGCCCCCCACAAGGATTTATTAGGCCGGTCCGCATAAAGGCGCTTCTCGCGACTTTCACCATTTCGTCGGTCCACCGAATGGGACATACGTAGTCACTATTTAGGAACTTTTCTGCCGCAACAGCCGAAAAGTTAGAGAGAGTTAGTACGAGCTATGTGCCTCGCCCACTGAAAGTAAGAATGTATATCTAATATTACATATTTTTGTAGTTTTGAATAC